AAAAAAAAAAAAAAAGTCAGAATAGGACATAAAAAACTAAATCCACTGACCAAGAGAAGTATGGGAAATAGCAAGCAAAAATTAAATAATGAAAAGTCCGTTTTGAGGCAAGAAGAAAAAATGAGACAAAATAATAGTAATAAAAAAAAACTAAACAAATGCTAAGTACTAAGAAAAACACTGACCAAGTCAAAAATGTGAAGCAAGTAAAAAAAAAAATATGAAAAAAATGAGACAAAAAATTACACATAAGAGAGTTAAAGTTAGTCAGATGACATAAAAAGTCAAACTTTTAAAATAAAAATAAGGGGAAATATGAGATAAAATAATGGGTTTGAAAGAAAACATATTGACTTTATTTTTCTCTTACTTGCAGAAATGGGATTCAAGGTAATGCATTTAATATAAATTAGATTTTTGTTTTTTTATAGTATGTAAAACTATGTAATATTTTGCGATCACAGCCTGGGGCTGTGGCTGTAAGTAGCCACAGGGCAACAGCAACTGTTTGCTTCTTACATATTCTTATTTGTTTGTTTGTTTTCTGATTTCTATGGTATCTCAATTATATATGGCAAGATGAAAAGCCAAAACAAGACAAAAATCTGTGCACAGCCTTTATTCTTTCTTTTTCTTTTTTTGTTTTCAGACGTACAATCTGACGTTCCTTCACTTCCGTGTGGCGTCTGGTTATGTCACATCAGATCCGCTGCTGGTGACCAATCCTCCGCCCTGATAGGATCTCTGGACACAGTAAACACTTGACTTCACCTCCGACCGTGGCAGCTCCTGCGTTCGCCTCTCTGAGAGTCGTATTTTGTTGTATCCAGCTCTGACTTCGGATATATTTATTAGCTCAGAGGCACATTAAACGGAATTAGTCGTCCTCTGAGGAGAATGTCAGATTTCGACAGCAATCCGTTCGCGGACCCGGACTTCAGCAACCCGTTTCAGGTAACGTTAGCTAGCTGAGTTAGCCGCATTAGCATTAGCTGCTGCTGCATTATTTCACATTAATAACAGTTTGGCCTGAGTTAGCCACCAAACTCAGGCACTGGTTGGAGTGTTTTTAGCCGCTGTTATACGGCTGCTTGTATTTAGCAGCTGCCAAACCTGTTCATTCACTTGTTGGTAGGGTTTAGTTGCATTGTCACTTCATGTTGGCACTGTTTTGCATACAGGAGTAATAGAACATCCTATCAGCTAGCTGGTTACCTTTAGTTAGCCTCCCTGGTGGTACAGCAGGTGTTGGCTGTGATTCACACTGCAGCAGCTTTGGTGGGTGGTGTTCTCCTTCAGGACACCCATTTAGTTTCAACTTTCCACTTCTTTCCCTTGTAACAGTCAAATTAGAAGCCACTGTCGACCTGTTGAATTGTTTTGCTGTTTATTATTCATTTGTGTGTCTGTTTTATATTAAGTTTTTGACTTTGTGTGGCAGCTACCTTGGCCCTTGTAAAAGAGATTTCTTATCTTAATGGGACTTCTTGGTTAAACAAAGTTATGTTCAGAGGTTGTTCCTGTTTACGTGGATGTGTGATATGTGTGTGTGTTTGTGTGTGTGTAATCGCCTTTCTCTTGTAAATCAAAGATGATAGTACTGATAGATTAATTTGGGTGCCATTGAAAAAACAGTTCTCATAAACAGATGAGCAGTATTTTGTGGTTGAACACTCTCTTGCCTTCATTGTGCGTTTGGCTTGATTGAGGCATCTGACTAAATACAGTCTGGTGTCTGATCGGTGTCTCATCATTGTGAAAGTATGCATCTGATCATGTGCTGTTCCTCCTTCTCTGTCTCATCCTGTCAGGTGGAGCAATGACTGACAGAAGGGCAGCAACTAATCAGCTCTTTCTTTAAAGCTAGAAATTCATTTTTGGAACAATTTTGATAATTTCTTACATTTTTTTAAAAACAATTTCTCAAGCAAAAATGCCCCAAAAACCTCTTCCTCTAGCTGCTCTAATGTGAGTATGAGCTGGGCTTATGTTATATTTAAATGACTAGCTTTGAGTTTTGGGTTGTTGGTATAATAAAATAGGTAATTTAAATATGTCAGCCTGTGATTTGGGAAACTGTGATTTATCAGCTGAAGAACAAGTGAGAAAACAATAATGATGAGCTGGAACACAGAATGTCATTTCATATGCAAATACAACTTCTCTTCACATAAATGCAGAATATGGAAGAGTATATTTTATATAAAGTAGAGCTGTTTTTTATGATTTCATTAAAAAAAATGCTTTACTTTGAGAAGGTTTTGTTTTAAATATGATCTTGAGTTAGTTTATTATACATGTGAGCAGAAAAATACTAACTCAGAACATACACAAAACTATTGAGTCATGTTACATCTCAAAACATTATCTTGATATTGTTTCATTAATCATTTGGTTGGATGTTCCAAAAATTATATGAAGCTATTACGCTTTACAACAACTTGTGTAAATTGGTAACATAGCTTAACCAGCCAGCAACTAGAACTAAAACGACCACAACTCATTTCATAAATATATATATATTAGTATCTGTATTGATCTGCAGGTTATTTTCTCAATTAGCTGATTAATCATTTAAAATAGAATGTTTAAAAAATAAGTGTGAAAATGGCATTCCATTTATTTTATTGAGAGCAAACAGCAACATCTTCAATTTGCTCATTTTGTCCAAACACTAAATATTTTTAATTAGTTGTCACGTAAGAAAAGCTCAATTCAAGAAACAGAAACATTTTTGCTTGAAGAATGATTAAAAAGATCCGAAAGATATTCACAGCCCTGCAAATCCTCTGGTATTTTTCATCAATTAATCCTTAAAATGACTGATAAGTGACTGCTGCTCATGAGTGCGTGGCTATAAAATAAGATTCTGACATTTTAGTCGCTTTAATTTATTGCTGATACTTCTTTTTTTTTAAAAACTCAGTGTGTGGTGGGAAGAAGCTGACGGCACAGTTTGACCCTACAGACGCAGGAGAAGTGAATTATTCATGGGGTTCATTAACATACTGACATGAGTAGTGAGCTCCTGCTGTCCTGCCACTTTCCTGTCATTTATTGGCTCGCACTGTTACGCCCGAGGATAGATGGAGCTTTGTTCCCTTCTCTGAGCTATCCTAAATAGTTCATGAAATCATATGGTGCCGTCATGGCGACATGTGGCGTAAGGATCCCCGCTGGCTCCTTTCCTGCGAAACTTCATCACTGCCAGTCATGCGTCAGATTGTTTGGTCTGTTTTTTTGTCCTATTTCTCTGGATGTAGGCTAATTACAGGAATTAGGCTTCCATGTTAGTTCATGAAAACCCTTGTAACGCAGCGCAGATATCACACGGTCGATTTTAGTGGCTTAATCAAATGTGAAATGGCGTAGAAGCCACGCAGAGCTGGTTTGCAAGCTGGGGATATTTGTGCACCTGCTCCTGTCCTATTGTGGCAAACACAACTTTACAAGGTCGTCTGTTGTTGGGCCACAAAAAAAATCCATAACCATGAAATTAGTTTTCACACCAGCAGCGATGCAACAGGTGAGCATGGTGGTGTTTGTTCTTTTTAACCACTGTATATGTCAAGACGAAACTTTGGTGAATATGCATGTGTTTGTGTGGCTGTGCACAGGGGCAGGATTAAAATTTAAACACAACATTCCCTGAAATATTTATGATCCCGGTCTGGTGACAAGTTGTGTGTGTGTNTGTGTGTGTGTGTGTGTGTGTGTGTGTGTGTGGCAGCGGAAGAGACGCTACTAGAAATTTAAGAGTCAGGGAGACAGCGAGAGGACGGCACTGAGACTGGATCAGGGTAGCACTTCAGGAATACATCGACTGGATTTTCACCTTGAGCAACAATTTGAATGAAACTAGTGACTGACTGACTGCAGCTGATGGTGAGCGTATTATCAAAAGACTTGAACATGTAGCTTAAGTGACGTCTGCAGGAGTTTTACATGCAGATTGAGGCGGAATATAACAAAGCCGGGCAGCAGCTGACGGTTGTTTTCGTTGGTAATCTGTTGTGTGGTCGATTAAGAAAATGGTGAAAGATGTTGAGCTGTGTTTCTGAAGATGGCATCCTGAAATGTCTTTTGTCTTTGTCCACAACCCAATGAAATTCAGCTAGAGGAGGAAAGAAAGCATAGGATATGTTAAGAAGCTGGAGTCGGAGTTCTCTAAATATTTGGCAATTAAACGAAACGCTACCAACTAATTGATTAATTGTTGCAGCTTTAAATTCAAGTCGATTGTCGAACTCCAGCGTCACCCGTAAAAAATGAGTGTAGATTTGAATGTTTTTCCTTTGTCCTATTTTGTAATTTGTGTCTTGGTAAAACTGTCACTGAGTAGGTTGTGAACAGGATTGTTTTAATGTGCTGGTTTTGCAAATCAAGAATGTAGTTAAAAGCATCAACAAAGTGCTTAACAGGGTTTTTTTGCAACTCGAAAAGCACAAAGTCTCCCTTTTTATTTCTGTCTTTAGCTGCCAGAAGCCTTCTGAAACTCATGGACTGGGCTATTTATAGCCACCTTCCTGTGAAAATTATTGGAATCATCCCGTCTTTGCCAGTATTAAATTATAGGCCTGTTGGGTTTTGAATAAAGAGAGCCGTTTGGCCTTGATGTGGCAGAATAATGGAGGGTTTTTTCACTCACATGAGCCGTTTTACTCACACCGTGGAGATTTCTGCTGCTGTCCTTGGTTGAAATGCAAAGATAAGAGACATCAAAAGTGCTGTTCACACTCCAAATTCATTGCTTTAGTGTATTAAGCCTCTCTTGTACGCTCTATGTTTAGCTCTTTTAAAGTGAGAACCTTTTAATCTTGTTTTTTTCAGGATCCATCAGTGACACAAGTGAGACCGGCGGCTCCTCCGGGGTTAGAGGAGTACAATCCCTTCACCGATGCCAAACCAGTGAGTGCTTTTACACAGAGCAGAGATCAAATAAAGTGATCCGTATTTTTCTGACTTTACTTTCCATCGTGTGAAAATCAGATGCATTAATTTAAAACTGTGTTAAATATAAAACAAGGTCCTAATAAGTCCCTCCACAGAGCTGACTGTAGATACATCCCATTAGTCTTCTTCATCATCAGAGGCGACACTCACAAATATAACAAGTGTGTCACTTTTGTAAACCCACTGCCCCAAAAAGATAAACCGATAACTCAAACAGTCCCACTTTATGCTTTCACTTGTTTTCACTCTCACAGCACAAGCATGCAGCTGCATAAGACACACCATGACGGCTCTGGTTAGATGAGCTGCTCCCATCCTGGATACCAAGACCTCCCAAAGGGGTCGATGGAGAATCCAGTGGGATCACAAGATCATTAACTCATTTAATAAATTAAGATAACTTTTACTTATTTCATGGACAATAGTAGAGAGTTTCATATGTTTAGTCTTAAAGGGTATTCAAATTGAATCATCTGTGGTTGTTATTTAAGAGAACACCTTGCTAATAAACATGCTCAGTTTGTGATGAGGGGCTGCTTCAAGCTAAAAATGTGTTAAAGGACAGAAAAAAAGAAGTTGATGGTCACTCTGATGTTAAAGGTCCATTTGTTAGCTTTTAGGAACTTTACATAAGCAGTCCAGTTTATGGAAAAGATAGTTTATGTGATTAAGAGCTTCTAAAAATTAGTGAGCAGTGAGAGTTTAATTAGGGCTACAATCAGCTATTTTCATTGTCAGTTAATCTGCTGAATATTTTCTTGAATAATTGATTAGTTTTTTGTCTTATTACCCAAAAGATATTCAGTTTGCTGCCATAGAAAAGCAGAGTAACCAGAAAATATTCAAATTTAAAAAGCTACAATCAGAGAGTTTCTTTAAAAATGACAGATTAATCAGTTATCAACACAGTTGGCCATTAATTAATAGTTGATAACTAAGTTGTAAATCATTGTGGCTTACATCATAATATAGCCTAACAAACACATTTTCATAGATTCTGTTATTTCAGTTCAGTTCTATTCAGTTTTATTTATTTGGCGCCAATTTACAACTAAAGTCGTCTCTGGAAACATCACACATTAAGGGCAAGACTGTACAAAATTATATTAGAGAGAGAAACTAAACTAATCCAACATCCTCTCCGGCTCGGCGACAGGTTACAGAGGGTTTAATCTCTCAACCTTTTAATGTTTTTGTGTGCTTTTTATCAACATAACTGTCTTTCTCACCTCCATACATTTTAAGTAGCTGTATTAATATTCATGCTGTATATGAATGATTTTAAAATGTATGTTGCTTTACTTTTTTCTAGCATGCAGCATCAATGAAGTGCCAACATTCTTGGACATGATAATGTTTTCCCTTTTCTTTATCTGATTTTAGTTCAGTCATTGTTATTTGTGTAGCACAATTAAAACAAGAAGAACCAAAGTAATGCAGAAATAGAACTGACTTTGTGAATTTGCCTGACAAGTTTAAATGTTAAGATCATAAAATATTTATTATATAAATGTACCTGACTAAATTACATATTAAGGTAATTCAATTTTAAGGATGTTTATTTTGCCTTTATTTTCTTCTTCTTCTTTTTTTTTTTAGCTTCCCTGTTAAGTGACCGTAGACCAACAGTGCTCAAACTACTTCCACTTACAACTCTGCTTTTTGTTCTTGTTTTTATAGCACTGATCATCATCAGTAACTAAGAACATTTTAGGAAATATTCACCATTTTTAGAAAAAGTGACTTCCTCGTGATAGCATTTCTACCAGTTTTGCAGCGTCACAGTATTCTCTAACCCTGTCAGCTAGAGTCTTCGCAGGGTTTGGCTGTAAATGCGAATATGTTTCCTTCGTAGACGCCTGCGGGCATGGCGCCTAAACCTGCAGGCCCCACCATGAGCACACAGCCTGCCATCATGAAACCCACAGAGGAGCCTCCAGCCTACTCGCAGCCTCAGGCGCAGGTAAAATTGACCACAGCTGGAGCTCACACAACCAAAAAACAGCCGTGTTTTCATGGTTTATAGAGCAGTTTTGCCGCAGAAGTAATAAAACCTTACTTTTGGTCGATGTTACCAGTGTAGTTAAACAGAATGCATTTCAACATGCTTGTAGCCTGGTGTCTAGACTAGAAGTGAAACTTGCTGCTACACTTAGAACAACTGTTGTTATAGATGTCAGACAGTAAATCTGAGGAACACATTTTTACAGATAAAGAAACGCTGAATGACAGATCGCATTGAGTTCCAGAAGCTAGAACAGAGGCGAGACTGGACAGTGACTTTACACATCACCATACTGATGTTACTGTAAGTCTATCTGTGTCTGTATAAGCAGGCAGACTGTGCCATGTCGAACGGTTTAGTCCAGCATTGCCAGCAGAGATTCTGACAGCGTACTGAAAGCAGAAAATGTATTAACACGACAGCTGGTTTCATGCTGAGCTTGTGGACAGAAAAGCAGCTCTGCAGGAGGCTGTTTCTATCTGTGACTAGGCTTTCTAGCTGAGGTAGACACAGCGTTGGAGAGAAATCGCGGCTGGCGGAGGAAATAACTTGTGATGGTGCATCTCGTTTGTTTGTAAGGCAGGCTCCTGGGAACACGTTGTTATTATGTGTGGCCTCCTGCTGGTGTTGCTCCTGCAGAGAATGGGATTAATTCAAAAAAGTAGAAACAGAACATTTCTAGTGAGGTGAAAAGAAAAAAGAAAAAAAAAACAAAAAGTCAGCCAAACAGTGTTTGTACTTTTGTGCCAGACGAGCTGATGTCTGCTGTTTGGTGTGTGCAGGAGCAGTCGCGAGCAGCTGCTGAGCTGCTGAGGAGACAGGAGGAGCTGGAGAGGAAGGCTGCAGAGCTGGACCGCCGGGAGAGAGAGATGCAGTCGCTCAGTGCTTCAGGAGGTCAGCACGAGCCACCAAAACACAGCTCCAGATCAGTGCCGCCACAGCAAAAAATTATGTGTCTTAATGAATGAACAGCTCAAAATTAATATTTCCCCCATCAGCAACTTTTCTGTTTGTCTTTTTATTTTACATCTTCCTAGTTTTTAACAACTACACATGCGATGGTACATATTTATCCTGATGTAGAGGAACGGTTTGATTCTTGTGGAGAGCTACATGAAAAGGTCCCTCTCAAGTCAATTTTAACATTGACAACAACAGATTCTAGAGAGATAAACATGACAACAAATTAGAGCGAGTGAGAGGAAAATCAAGCATATTTAACCATTAAAAATAAATGTAGCATGGCTCATAAACGGTTATCAGAGGATCAAGTTGTCAGCTTATTGTTGGACGATGCATTCAGCCTTGTGAAATGTCCTTTATAGTTGACGTGCAGGGTCGTGTAACCAGAAAGTTTAAATGGTGAAATATCTACAGTATTGGTAACACCTGTGGACACAATGTTGTACATGTTTATTTTTAATATTTTTGCCAAATAAATATTTCTGTTATTTATGGCATTATAACTGCGTCATCCTGCACACAAGACATTTTTGAGTTTTTCTACCTCCAGTCATTGTTGTGCTGTTTCAGTAGAGTTGTAAGATTTGAGCCCACAGTGAGGAAAATGTGACGAGAGCACAAAACACCCAGAAACTGCTTGTTCAGAGCATTAAATTCCCATATCTCCTCTAGAGAGCAGGTTTTCTACTTTATCATGCACACAAGAAACCAAGCAGGGAATCAGCAGAATGTGTCCATACGCACTGCAGTCACCTGTTTACTGTTAAAATCACACGCTTACATGCATGTGCTCAGTAACCACATCTCTCTCTCTCTCTATACCTGTTAATATGTTTGAGCCAAGGCTGGCTAATTTTTAAGTTTAGGCTGTTAGTGATTTGTCTGAAAGGAGACCAAGTAAAACATGCCTTTATATTTTTTAAAAACATGCTGAAGTAACTCACAAACTTGACATTTGTTTTCCTGTTCCAGGCAGGAAAAACAACTGGCCTCCCCTCCCAGAGAAGTTCCCTGTGGGTCCTTGTTTCTACCACGATATTACTGTGGATATTCCCGTAGAGTTTCAGAAGACAGTCAAAATCATGTACTACCTCTGGATGTGTAAGTAACTTTTTATGTTCCGTTGACCACTGCTGTTTTGGATGTCTGCTGCATTGTGAGGACTCAGTGTGAGTCAAAAGGCAGTGAATCAATCAAAGGCAATAACAACAGCACAAGTCATTTATTTTTCATGCAAAAATGCAGAACTTTACTCCTTTCCTTCTACGAACATATCAGGATTTGTTGTTTTTCTTTGTCTTTTGTGAGAGTAATTAATTTATCAAACCTGAAAATAATCATTGACTGCAGCCAAACAATCATTAAATGAATGACTGTTGAGCCTTGTGGAAGCTTTTTAGTTGCAAGTCTGCCAATTATTCATCAGGACAAAGATGTTTTCAAAAAGTCTTAAATTCATTTTACTGTCATGTCTTTAAATTCAACCTTGCCTCAGTTTTAAAGAACTTTTTCCATTTAAGAGTATTTGTGATGCATTTAAATGCTTTTTGCTATTAGATCTTAAAGACCCCACATTCTGCACTTTGTTACTTTTTAGATTTACTAGAATAGGTTCATATGCTTCAATGTTCACATTATTTTTCTATTTCTATTTTTTTTCTGTGTTGCTGCAGCACTCCTTCTCACACTCTGTCTGAAACCAACTTTGCTGTAAATCTCAGTCAGTTCTGATTGGTCAGCTGGTCCCACAAAAGTGAACCAAGTTGGTTCCATATTATAACCCCAAATCTATGAGTAAAGGGATGTAGCGCTAGAAGATGAGGCTCTCGTGAGGAAATAATGGTGAACTGGGAGATGGCTGCTCTTTGTTTGAGGACGTGCCAAACTAGCTGCGAGGCAACCATTATGCAAATGTGTTACATGGTGATGGAGATAAGTAACGGAAGAAAAGCTGGGACTTAAAATAAGGCATTTCAGGCAGATAAGGAGCTTTTCTGTGCAAGAGAATAACTATCTTTGGTATGGACTTATAATGCACAGAGAAAAACTCAAAAACCAGAACATGGCCACTTTAAATTTCAGCAGTGGTCTTAAATGAAATCAGCAGACATCCTGATTTAGTGCCCTCCCATTTCAGATTGGAAAGATTTCATACTGATAAAACCTGCTGGAATTTCAGAATCTGTAAATTTCTCCTTCAGATGCATTTAAAAGGCTGTTATATTACTGTGTTCTGTGGAAATTGCTATTTTAATAGAAAGTAACATTATACTGATGTTATTTTGCTTGTTGCCTTCAGACACGTAATCCTTTATACTCAACCGGGCTCTTGACCCTTTGGTGGTTTTAATCTGTTAGGGTTGCTGGGACCACCTCGAAGCCAAGCTTGTTTTTAATGACGGGCATTTCTATAATTGATAATTGTTAGTATTTCTTTTGGCCGTACACATGAATCAGACAACATGTTCACATGAACTGCATCTATTCACATTTTGAAAGTCTTCGCTGCCAAATTTAAACATCTGATAGAAGAAAGGTTGAATAAAAATCAGCAGCTCTTCAATAATTCATGACCTGCTTTTGGGATTTAACGCAATAAATGACATTGTCAAGTTTCACATACTCTAAAAACTCGAGATGCTTATCTTCAATTAAGAGGACTTTTATAATCAGTTCACTTTTGGTATTGCATGAAATGATCAACACATTGTCTTCAAAGAGGTTCTAAATTAGTTTATCCAATTAACCTTCGCACACTCCCTCTGCAGTCTTTAGCGCTCAGTTGTAATGGTGGGAGAAAACTAAAACATAATGTGTGTGTGTGTGTGTGTGTGTGTGTGTGTGTGTGGCTTCAATTGGAATTCATTGCCCACATGACAAACGCATGCGGCGCAGTCATGTGGCCTGGTGAAGTGACTTGGTCAGATGATTGCTTAAAGGCTGCTTCAGAGACAGAGTAGTGTTTGATAAAAGCAAAGAATGTCACACTTTTTAAATCCAACAAACTGCATCTTTTTTTAAGCTCAGGTAGAGAAGGATATAGAGCACAAATGTGTCCACTTCACCCGCGCTCGGTTCTGTTGTGTCAACCAGCACACTAATGTCATATTTCCCACAGTGGTGTAAAATCCCCACAGTCAAACAGACTCAGTACTTGCACCATACCATGCAGCCACTATTAGGACCTCAAGAACAAATGGTGATGATGAATTATTAAATGTGTGCGTGTGTGTTCTGCTCCCAGCTCTGCGCAGTGTTACATGTTGAAATATTAAGCGTCAGTGTTTTCTCCACTTCCACACTTCCATACAGGACTCAGCTTGGCAGGACACTGGACACTGCTGCTTCAGCCATTACACAACCTGCTTTCCAAGCTCTGACATGTACACTTACTCACCAACACTGTCCCACTTTTTAGCTGAACTCTCCGTCCAGATACTGACTGCACATTTCTTTCCTCTTCCACCTGATTCAGTTCATACCGGCACGCTGCTGGCTAACTTGATCGGCTGCCTCTCCTGGTTCCTTGTGGATGGACAACGTGGGGTGGACTTTGGCCTAGCCATCCTCTGGTTTATCCTCTTCACACCGTGTTCTTTCGTATGCTGGTACAGGCCGCTTTATGGAGCATTCAGGTAAACACCTAAAAACAAAGATGTATTTACTCCACAAGTAGAAACACAACACCCAGCTGGCGAAGCTTCTGTGCCCACTGTGTTTAATATATTGTGTTTTTCTGTCTTTCTGCAGGAGCGACAGCTCATTCAGATTTTTTGTTTTCTTCTTCGTGTACATCTGCCAGGTTGGCGTTTATGTTCTTCAGGCTGTTGGCATCCCAGGTTGGGGCGCCAGGTGAGACAATGAAACTGAAAACAAACATTTTGGGCTCACAGCAGTGTAGGCTTTAGTCTTAAGGCCTTTTGAGACATGCACGTTTTTCCAATGATCTGACAGCATCTGAGCATATTGGTTACATGTCTGAATGAGCATCTTGGTCTCTGTTCCGTAAAAGGTGCAAGGCATTTAACCTAGTAACGTTTCCCCATCACTGTCACCATGACACAGCTCTGAACTGCATGCAGCCGCATTAACAGATATTAAGAGTTTTTAGGACCAGTACTGGTCCTTAAATATCACTGTTTGTGTACCAAGATCATCAAACAAATTATCATTCACTTTGCGCTACAAATTCACATCTCTTATAAGCGCTATGAGATGACTTGTTGTTGTAAATATGCGCTATACAAATAAAATCAAATTGAATTGAATTGAATTATAAACAGTTTATTAAGTTTATGACATACCTGCAGTATCAGACAGCAGCTTCAGCCAAGCACATGAACATGACACACAGTCACTTCATTATTACTTGGTTGAAGATGTAAATCTTTGCAAACAAGTCACAATATATATTTTGTTTAAAAAAATAATAATAATAATAATTAAATAAGGCAAAATTATTTTTACATCAGAAGGCCCAGTAGTTTTTGGCAAACGCGAGTAATTAGTCCATTTGTTGGGGACTATTTTTCTCCCACAGCAGATTAATACACATGTTGTGTGCTTGTGAATGTTTAAGGCAGAAGGATGGTGTGATTGTGTTCAAGTAAACTACAGCTGAGATGTTCATCAATGTGAAGGATGTCTCACTGATGTGTTGTTTGTGGTTCCGAGGAATAACGTGAATTACACTTGTTAATGGTCAAGTCATCTGTGGTTTTTGGCTTTTTGGAGGATTTGTTGACAATAACAAAAACAAACAGAGTTTAACCAAACTAATGCTTTGAATTATCTTCTTGTCCTTAGCGGGTGGATCTCAGCTTTGACCGGCCTGAATAAAAACACCCCCGTGGGCATTATAATGATCCTCATTGCTGCTCTCTTTACCTCACTGGCTGTCATGTCCCTTTTCATGTTCAAAAAGGTACACACACAACAAACCTAGAAAATACTCATGTAGCCTCTGTTACAGCCTGTTCAGTGCTCATTTTGCCCTCCTCTTCCCTTCATCCTCACATCAGGTCCATGGAATGTACCGTACCACCGGCGCCAGCTTCGAGAAGGCCCAGCAGGAGTTTGCCACAGGCGTCATGTCCAACAAGACGGTCCAGACGGCTGCCGCTAACGCCGCCACCAGGGCTGCACAGGAAACCTTCAAGGAGGAGATCTGATCCACGTCTCTCCGTCCAGCCCTCACCTCCCCTCTGCATCCATCTTCCACTTACAGCAGCCCTGTTTGAACACATGGACAGTGGTTTATGCGAGGCACTGCGGTTCTGTAACGTCAGTGTGAGTGAGAAAACAACCACTGAGAACATTCAAACAGGTTCTTCTGTCTTACTCTACCTGCCCTGGCAACATGGTGCACTCTGGGACCCCTCACCTCTGCTGCACTCTTACCACTCAACCAGCGTGCTCCACTTCATTTTTTTTTTCTGTGTGGGTTTGTGTGCATGTGTAAATGAATGTTTGTGTGCCTTTTTTTAAATGTTGTCGCCGCCTCGAGGCCTGTCTGTCCTCTGTAGACAGATTCTAATGTAGCTGTACCGACTCTCTGAAGTTACCTGGGCATTTCTCTCCATAAACCAGCTTCCTCTGTGCCCCTGCAACACTGGCTTCCTATGTGTTTTTGAGTTATCAACCTAATCACTAGTTCCTATTTTTGACTTAATTTATTATTTGAAGCCGTCTAGTACTTTTAGTTACTGCACACATTGCAGCATTCTATGATCTGTTTTGCTGTTTTCAGTGCATAACTTAACACTGCTGACCCCTGGTGGAGTAACTTTGTATTGCTGAAGATGAATGCTGTGCATTCCAGTTCACTGCTTTGCCTTCTACTTTTTGCTTTCTTCAGAATTGGGATTTAGAAAGTGTGTAGTCTTAACTTCCTTAAAGTGATTCTTCACCTAAAATCTAATCTTCAACCTACCAAAGCAGAATGCTGTTTTTACTGTTGAGTAAAATGCCAAGGAAACATATTTAATTAAAATATATTACATTTACAATAATGCAAGAAACAGAAGAACAAAAACACATCACTTAAGAAGTTAGTATCAACAAATGTTTGGCATGAGTGGTGTGGTCTTATCTCACCAACTATTGGACAGATTAGCGTGTTCATCTCTACTGAAATTCATGTTCTCCAGATGATTGTTGCTTCCTCTAGTGCCAGCTTAAGATTCTTTTAGTGAAAGGTCTCAACAACTATTGGATGGATTGTAATTTGTTAGACATGCTCTATCTTGTGTTTAGTGCTAATTAGAAAACATTTACATGGTGACTAATTTAAAATGGTGAATATGGTAAATTTTGTACCTGCAAAAAAAACTGCATGTTAGCATTTAGCAAAAGCTGCAAGCTTGGTTCTAAATCACTAGTTTTGTTTCTTAAAGAATGATAATTTATCAAAATATAACAATAATAATATAAATATAATTTCAACAATTTTCCTGAGGTTCTACCAAAGGGATCAATAAAGTTCTATCTATCTAAATAATTTCATTTTTTGTCAATTGGCTAAACAGTTTATCAACTAACTTACGCCACCTACAGTTGTTGTTTTCTATCAGCTACAAAGCTACCAACCTTAAGCAGCCTCCTCTCCTGCCTTCAAACAGTGTTCGATTTTGAGTGGATTGTCACTTTAATGTTTTCTCTCAAGTCCTTATTTGCTTGAAATCTTTTGCCTATATTGATCTGCGTTTCCGTTGTGAAATAACACCAAGTTGCACTTTAAATCTGGACATTAGATTCGTTGTCTACGCGCTGCATTCGATGCAAATGGAAGGATATTTATAATAATGGCCTCATCAACTCATGTTGTCTACATGCACCAGCTGAGTTCAGCTTAGTTTCTACATGAAGCCTCCCTTTTTGTGTTGCTTCTTCAAAAAAGACATAAATGAATGACACCTTAAGTAAGAGATCCACTATTCTCTGTATACAGCTGCATGTTTATACAGTTTCTTTGAAGAGGAAAGTGTAACTCGTCTCCGGCTGTTCTTGCGTGCTGGAGATTTACCTCAGCTTTACTCAGGATACTCTTCACTTGCATGACGAGGTTAGACAAGACTGTAAAAAAATTCAACTGGCCTCTGGTTTTAAAAACGTGTTGTAAATCAGTATATTGCAATAAAAATGACTTCAAAAGACGACAACAATGGCCGGTAATGTTGATGTGATTTGTGATAATCGCTTGCTTATTCATAAATTAAAGAATATGGTTGAACTATCACTGAACTCCAGCAAACCCACAATCAAATCTGTTCTCTTTCTTGATCATATTTGACATCAGCAAACATTTTTCAATGCATTTCACCTGCTAAAATGTCTCTGAATGTGTCTTTTTCTACATGCTGTATGAGCTGCAGAGCAGTTTCCACTGTTTGAATGTGTGCAATCACTCTGTCTGTTGGGTCTCAAGTCTGAACCAGTTAAGTGTTCGTATGTGTGTGGTGTGTAGGAGTGTAAATAGGGGGAATTTGGCCTTTAAGTCTTAATCTGTGTGCAGGGCAGAGTCTGGCTGTGGGTCTGGGATCCTTCTTGACTTCTAGAGACATTATTTCAAATCAGTTAAGACTTTCTGCTTTTTGTTTTCCTCACTGGATTCATTCAGACCAGTACATGTTTATGCCTAAAGTACAGATACAAACAAAGCAGCTTGAGATTATTCCTGAAAAGAATCCAGACTGAATGGCACCTGCAGATTTTTCCTGTTATTTTTGACTCTGTTAAAAATAAAGTGAGAAATGTGTTAGACTGCAATGCAATGTGAACTGTGTGATGTACTGTAGACAGACTGTGGCTTCAAGCTTTATAATCATCATGATGTGCGGTCAAAACACTGAAAGTTAAATGGAAAAAGTCTGTAAGCATCTCTAACAATTGAGGTTTATTGAAATGATCGAGGATAAATATTAAGGGATGTTTGTATATTTTGTACGATTTACAGATGGTTGGTTATTTGCTCTAAATTTTGGTGTAATTTTAAGATGCACTCTGGTTTCACCTACAGTCGCATGTTGAGTAGTTTGAGTTTTGTATATTTATTGTATTAACACTAAATAAAATTCTTCTTCTGTATGTGTTTCATGCCTTATGTTTGTTTAAATTTGATGTAAAAACCCAGGAAACAGAAATATATGCATTTTTTTGAACAGTCAAGCTCCAAACTATTCAATCACATGCCAAGTTTTGATTAATGGTTATTTTTTTCAATGACAAATTAATAATCTATTCTTGATTTCTATGTTGTTGTTGTTGTTGTTTTTTTTTTTACATTATTGCTAAAAGTATCTTGAACCTGGTAGAAATTAACAGGACCATGAGGACCATTTGTAGAAAACTGCATTGAAAATAATTTCTTTTCAAAAATGGCAACAATTTCAAAGGGTATGAACCATTTTAGACATAGATGTAAATCAAAATAAGTCATGTCCAGCCAGAGGACACCTATTGATCAAATACAAATTCACTGTAAATTGAAATTTGGCATTGCTATGAATGGTTAAAATGGATTAAATGCAAATTATTTAAGCAGGCTTGCAATATCAGCCAATAACCAGATGAGGTCAGTAGTTATCAATGAACAGGCGCTCACGGTGGCTTCAGTGGAAACGTGTTTAAAGCAGCAGAATCATTCAGACAGCATTCATTTATTCCCACATCCCTGTTTCGCTTAAGGCTTGATTAGAGAATTTTGATAAAAGTAGGAAAAATGAGTTCAGTATCTGAGGTTGTAGCAGCAACAGCCCCGTATTCATGAATGATTAAATCAGGCACACAAGTCTAAAAGCACTTCCTCTGCAATAACACAACACTAAATCATCTTATTGTGCTATATACTACAGTAAACAATGTATAATATCCTCTCTTTGTCGTAAACCCAACTCTCTCTGTCTTCAATCGTCATTACCTATAATGTGAATTATTTTTTTAATTACGTTTGTGCTGGTGTCGAGTTTTACTTCATCATACATGTTCATAATATTGTGCAAGTCATTTGTTATTTTATATTTTCTATATCAGTCTAACAGCATCACAAACTGCAGCCACCACAAAAACATGATACGGTTGAGCTACCTGGAATCATTTCAACAAACAAGTTAACACCACAGCCATCATGAAGGGAGAATGTTTGCATGACTGTTTGTTGCTTTTCCTGTACAAAAGGAACATCTGGCATTCCACCACAGGTTTAAGCCGACATCAGAGGAGTAAAATGACATTTCTGAACCAGTTCTAATGGATTGGTTCTCATCTACTCAAACACAATAGATATTTTTGTTCATCATATAGTCAGAAATGTATAGATTTCTGTGAATTATTAATCTGTAAAATATCTGTGTCATAAGTTATTAAATAAAAAGTGTAGTGTCACATTCTTTACTGCAGCATCATCAAGTTGTGATAACATTTAGTTTCTTTGCATCTCATGATTCTGTTTTTCTGCCATTTGAAGCTGAAACTGGAGTTTGTGTTTAATTTGCTGCTTTGAGTGAATCATTTATTAACCAGGATGTAACTCAAAATGTAACCAGGAAACAATATATAAATTAACTGTTATATTTTATATTTAATTATAATTATTAATATCTTTTATATGTAAGTTTGCTGAACACGATGTCAGTTGAGGAGGTCTGGACCCAGCCTGTGCTCTCTAAGAAGACGAGGAAAAACTCCCCATTTAAGATGGGAAGAAACCTCGGGAAAGGCAATTCAAAGAGAGATCCCCTTTCCACGGATGACTGGGTGGAGCTGCAGGAGAAAAGGAGGAAAAAACACAATCAGCTCCTCTGGTCAGACAGAAAACAGCATTAGAGCAGAATTAAATGTTGATAATACTCCTGGATGTCTGTGGAAAGTCTAATGCCTTCTTTATACTTTCTACGTCCAAAAGTATGCGAGGGTTGGCATGACGTAAATTTTGGTCATGGACAACTTCTCCTTTCCGCATTGGCAATTAGGTAGGGTTTCGTGCGACATAAATTTCATCACTTAGGAAAATTTTTAAAGTTTCTCTTACGGACTTTGGGAGAAGACAGTACGACATACGCTTTCTGCGTCCATGAGTACAAACTAATCCATGTAACTTTCGTCATTTTCCAAAGTTCACAGGAGTCCCTGCAGTCTTTGAAAGATGACGGTACGGCATATACCTTAAATATCAACGAGCACTTAAGGTTTTGTAATCTTCATGAACTTTTAAAACCCACTAAGTCTTTTGCAGACTTGAGAAGGTGAAAATACACTTGGTACTTTTCAAAGAAGCAAGTACACGAGAGTAAATTTCGATGACGTTAAGGTTTGTCACTTTAGAAAATGATGAAACTTGCGTTACATGGACTTCTTTGTACTTGTAGACTCAGATGATGTAAGTTGTACTGTCATCTCCCAAAGTCTGTAACAATTTGTGCAGACTTCGGGAGAGGACGGTACAACTTGACTTGGTATGACACACAAACGAGTCCACGTAGTGAGACTTTAACCATTTTACAAATTCCACAAGAGTCTATGCAGACTTGGGAAGATGAGCGTATAACATATCCCTTCAACAACAAAGAGCACGTAAGAGTTTTTACATTTGGTCAATTTTGTCATTTAAAAATTTTGTCTCCCAAAGTTTGTGAGAGTTTGTGCAGCCTTGGAGAGATGAGGATAGGTCTTCTGCTGTCAGTGTTCTGTCATTTTCCAAAGCTACACAGTGCAGACTTGGCAATGTAACAGTTGGATGTATTTCCTACAAGTGAGTCTGCATTACATAAATTCGTCATTTTTTGAAGCCTGTGTGAATGTGCGCAGACTTAAGTGATGGTACCACATATACCCTTAACATCTGTCAGTACATAATGTTTAGTAAATTTGTGATAAACCGTGACAAATGTGCTTCACTGGTGGAAACGAAGGTCTCCACCTCAGAAACAGAATCCTCCCAGCAGCCTACCTTATCCTCCACCTCCTCCAGCGAGCCTCCGCTGCCATCTGTAGGTAACCAGTCTCTCAAGAATTAGAATCAGCTGTTGGGCCAGTTAGTACCGATCCACTGGTTCTGCTGTTCCAGCCTGAATCCTCAACAGAGCTGCCACTTCTGTGGATTCTGGTTTTGAAACATGAAACACAGGTCCACAGGGGAAGGTTCCCACAAGTTTGGATAACACACCCAAACGTCTTCCAAGACTTGCTGGTGACTTGACCTCACAATGTTAGTAATCAATGTTGCACTGAAATATTAAAGAAAAAATTGATAAAAGAAGAATAACAACAATGACACAGGACAAAGTTACACTGTGAGATTAAACTAAAGTAAATAAAATAGAATAAAAGAAGAATAACAACAATAATACAGGACAAAGTTATACTGAAAAATGAAAAAAAAAAGAAAAAAAAAAAAGAAGGATACTTAGCTGATCAGACCAGCAACCTCTTGTCAACAAGAACAACTCCAAAAATCCTCTGGGGAGGAAATATTGGAGACATTTCTTGGGAAGATTTCAGCAAGAGGGACCCTCTTCCAAGACTTGCTGAAATTTAAAGGAATTGACGGAAGGGCACCACCAGGAGTGGAGCCTGCAGCTTAATTCGACTCAACGCGGGGAACCTCACCCGGTCCGGACACGGGAAGGATTGACAGATTGAGGGCTCTTTCTCGATACCGTGGTTGGTGGTGCATGGCCGTTCTTAGTTGGTGGAGCGATTTGTGGTGGTAGGGGGCGGGGGGGAGGAGGAGGAGGGCGGCCTGGAGGCAGGGAGCGGACCAGCCGGTCACCTGGGGCCGCGTGGGGCAGACAGGGACGCGGGGAGCCACGGAGCCAGCTGGGCTGCTGCGTGGACATGGCTTCAGCTCCGCTCCGACCCACTGCGCGCCGCTCCGCTGCCTTCTGTTAGAACAAAAACACAATGCCGCCTGCTGGACGTTTTGTGCCCCTGTTACCCGCGTCCCCAGCCCAGGTGGAGGGGCACCAGGGGTGTGGCCGACTGCAAGTCTGAGCGGTGTTCTTTCCCGGATGGAGTACCAGGAACACGGCTGACAGGGTACCAGGGGCGCAACGGTTGGGGTACCAGGGGCGTGGGCGACTGCCGGCCGTGACTGTAGGTGCAAAGT